GATTTTTGGGGAGAAACCAAGGTGGCTTTCTGCCACAAACCGCATCTCAGATGTATCTCTTAGAAACACCGGCAGTCTTAGAAAGCCATGTCTCCGTGCAGGGAGGGAAGGTCATTTACGTACAGAATCCCAATGCGGGGATGGGAAGCACCACTTAAAAACACCCCACACAATTCCAAAACATGACACAAGGCCTGTGTGCAATCCCCTTATGGGATTTATATGCCCCCTTCCTCAAGAGCATATAAATACCCAGGATTTGGTGCCTTTCTAGGAACCAGCCTCAACATGTTGACATGCAAGAGAAGTTTCACCCCCGAGTCTGCAACTGCTGCCCAGTTGGCTGCTTCTGACCCTGCTGCTCTGCATTGTCACCCTCCACTGCCGGAGCTCTGCATCACAGGCCACACTCCCATACTAAAACCAGGAAGCCCAATTTTAACCAACAGGAGACCGACGTACTGGTGCAAAAAGTCACCAAGCATTACCCGTTCCTATTTGGAGCTTTGAGGAGGACCCCAGCTAAGAAGCACAGAGCGTGGAATAACATCCTACAGGCTGTTAGTGTGTTGGGGTACTGCTGCCGGGACTTGGGGGATCAGAAACACTAATGGCAAGACCTCCGCAGGGTAGTAAGGAAAAAACTTGGAGAACCCCAGAGAGCCATGGCTGGAGGAAGGCCACCTCAGTCCTTGGCTCTCACTCCAGTGGAGAGACTAGTGGCAGAAACCTTCTCCCCACGCACCACCCAGGTAGACAGTCAAGGTGTTGACACTTTGCAAAGCAAGCTACACGGGGTTCATTGAGAGATCACATACACACACACACACAGGCATGCACACATTCAACCATGCAACTGCAGCCACCAACTTACAACTTACCCTATCAAAGGGTATGCTTTCTGGTATATGGGCTGGATTATTTTTCATACCTGCTGGTGTAAAGCAGGAATGACTCTATGTAGTCAATGTGAAATGTGGATTAGTGAGAGGAGAATCTGGGTCTACGTCTTTAGCTGGTTCAAAGGAAATGTTAGACGCCAATAGTGTTCCTAGCATGTGGCTAGTACCAACACATTTGCCCATCCCTGTGGTCTTCTTTGCTTCTCACAACAGGGAATAAAGGTGACTGACATAAGGTACATGTTGCATGCTTTTTTTAACCTACACCAGAAAAACAAAAATGCTGCTACTTTCTTGGCTGTTAGGAAAAAAGAGATACTGTCCTCTCCCACATGCACATATGGTGTCTCTGGGATGTCAGTACAATGTAAGCTCCAGTTCCTTATCTAAGCACACCCTACTTCAACCACAATTCATTCACTGGGCCTGTAACTTCATCACACTTCTCCCAGCAGCTAACAAGGGTGCCAAACTTCTTCAAAAGTGTTTCTCTAGAATTGTAATATTCCCCCATTTTTCCTGTCAGACCATTTTACCACCAACACTGCTCAGATAAAGCATCTACACCTTCTCTACCACCACTTCCCTCACAACAGCTAGTGGTCCAAAGACTGGCCAGTCTATGCCTTCAACCCAAGTTGACAGCAGTGGAGGCACAAGAACACATTCAGGATTTTCTTTGCCAAATCCACCGTCTCTTTGTTAAATCCAAAGAAGTCCAAATCACAACTCATGCAAAAAGACCTGCTTTCAGGGAAGGTTAATTCCACCACAAAGCAGAGAATTTTCTCCATCTCCAGTTTTCTTCCATTTTTATGGTCACATTTGGTGCCCAGCCACCTTCTGTGAATGCTCAGTCAGAGTTATCAAGTTTTTAGGCCTTGGTTGATCTTGACATTGAATGTCACTAGCTCATGAAATGTGGATCTCATAGACAAGAAAAGAATAAGGCCAGGAACAAAGAAACTGCAGGACACAGGAGACACATGGCAATTGGTTCAATGTCTTGATACACTGAGAGATAGGGGGGATTTTCCAATAAAGACAGTAAATTCAGTCCCATAGTTGAGCTGATACTGCTTTGTATGCAACATTGCCATTTCCACCTCCTATTAATAAAATACTTGTTCAAAGGGAAATGTATTCCTATTTATGTAAATATGTGATGATTTGTTTGGGGGATTTGAAGGTCCACCCATATCTGCTACCAGAGTAGCTTTGTCGGTTCCCTGTATTCAGCCCTAGTTCATTCCCTTTGTTCTTGATATATCCAGGCTTGCTTTTTGGCTGGAAGGTTGATTTAACACATAGCATGCTCTGAAA